AATGAGGATTTTTTACAGACGATTTGAATTTATTTTTTCAGCAAAAAGAAATTTCAAACTTTGAAATTTCCATGACTTGGATTTTCAAATTCACGGTGAAAATTTTTTATCTCCCTCAGCCTTCGAATTCCTCACCATCAAAGACACCCACCCCTCATCTCGTTCCACCACTCGCCTGAATTAATGACCCTCTCCTAAGTCCTGAATTGCCATAAAATACTCTTACTCATTCACTTCTGTCAATCAACTAACAATAATTCACTTCAATAAAATCGCGTACTCCGACTAAACCGGTTGAATTCAGCATTTGGCGGGAAACGAAGTGGCAACCGTTCGTCGAGACGGCAAACGAGCTCCTCATGCATAACTCGGGTCGTCTACGTGAAAATTATGGCTCTATTGATTTCGAATTCATCAGAAAATTCATTTCTCCTGTTGATGAGAATGGAAAATGGGCTTTTGTGGAGTACTTGCTATTGTAATCCCTCAGAGGCTGACCGGAGTTTCGGGGAGAGGCAGGTAGTCGCTGCCTCACGGCAAGTACCTGCGTCGAACTAGGCGCACACAGGGCATATACAAATCGTCGCCCGTGTATATTTACCATAAAGAGTCCCTCGCATTATGACATTCATTGTTTATTCAGCCCTAGAATTATCATTCCCTTCGAGGGAAACTGGCGTGTAAAGAAATTTGTGAGAAATAATACGTTGAGATCTGAATAATTGAATTTTAACTGTGCACCGGGGAAATGGGAAAATCCATACGTTACGTCAGCCTGGGAAAGATTTGTCATCTCCACGTTTGACACAACCGCAGACATATTTGGTTAGACCGCCACGTCTTCGATATTTTCACGGTCATTCGTCTTTCAGACTTCCACCAGACGACGGAATGAATAAAACGCTTTCGATTGGTGATTGACGGAGACGGTTGAGTGATTTCTGTTTGAACAAATGCACAAATCCAACCTAATTGGAATTTGAATTGACGGCGAGGGTGGGGAGAAGGCGATAATTTAGGAATGAAATGATAAAACGTATGGGATATTTTTTTTCCTGAAATAATTCGTTGTGAAGTCAATTCAATTTTTACAAAACTGGAATGTTGTAAAAATCGTTATTTCACAGTGAATTCGACCTTGAGGGAATTCTTAATCATTCAATTACATCTTCAAAGAGTAAATTCATCAATAACAATCTCGTATAATAAAATAGAACAAAATAATTGAATTTATTTTGAAATAAACGGAATTTCGGTTGAAAAAATGCAGAAGTCAATCCTCCACCTAATTATAATTTCAATTAACGATGAGGGTGGGGATAAGGCAATAATTTAAGAATGAAACGATAAAACGTTTGTGATAAGTTGAATGCCAATTTTATTTACAGTTTTTCAGTAAAATAATTCGTTATGAAGTCAACTCCATTTTTCCACAACAGGATGTTATAAAAATCGTTAATTGGGAGTGAATTCGACCGCGTGAATTCTATCTCGCATGACTTCTTAATCACTCAATTACATCTGCAAAGAGAGAATTTACAAATAAACATCACTAACAATAAAATAGAACAGAATGAGTGAATTTATACGGAAATTCAGACAGTTTTGTTTGAAAAATTGCAGAAGTCTGTCCTCTCCCTGATTATAATTTCAATTAAGGGCGAGGGCGGGGAGAAGTCAATAATTGAATATTTAATCCATCTCTTGCTTTAAAATAATTCGTGACGAAGTTAATTCCTTTTTTATAAAACTCTAATATTGTAAAAATCCCAGTGTCACAGTGAATTCGACCTCTCGTGACTCTCTAACCATTAAATTATATCTGCAAAAAGAGAATTCCCAACGAAAAAATTTCCAACAATAAAAACAAACCAAACAATTGAATGTATTTAGAAATGTCAAGGCAGGAAAACTTGACTCACTGATATTTCCTCTCACGTTTCATCACTCATGATTTATTTTCCGACATTCTCCATCCCTATTTCTGCAAACAATAATCCGCAAACGAGTACATAATATCCTCGCCACATACCGAGTCCACCCCTAGTTGTTTGTTAGAATCACGCCTTGTACCTGCCGTGTGAAAAACCTCGGGTAAGAAAAAAAATGCGAGGGTGTCTTCTCCGAGAAAACGATCAGGTGAGTTGCCATTGTGATTTCTCGCCAAGGATGTTGTGCCGCGGTGAGTCAGAAAAAGGAAGAATAAAGTGAAATATCTTGGGCGAAACTCTAGGGGTACCTGCGCCTCTCGCTGCACTCAGTCGGAGAAGAATGAAGAAACTCGCTGAGGGCACTCCTTCCTTCACTGAGACTTGAAGGAGAATCATTCATCTTTGGCCTTCATTAATTTCCCTTTTCACTTGTATCGTTAAAAAATCATCTTTGAACTTTAACTGTAGCTTAAAAACTCGAATAATTCATTTGTCAAATGTATGACAAGAGTACTAAATATCTTTCACAGGAAATATGAAACTCCTGAATTGATAATGCGTTAGAATTCCAGGAATCTCGTTTTTCCCTTTAAATTGAGGAATAAAAAGGGAATTCTGACTCTTTTCTTGCATTCCTTGATGCACTTATGCATTTTTTCGATCACTTCATGATTGAATGACTTGAAAAAACATTTATAAAATTAAAGAAAGCCGTATCACAGCAGTACTCAAAATTTTTCACACGAAATATGAAACTCTTGCATTGAAAATGCCTTGAAATCCCAAGAATTTCATGTTTCCCTTTGAATTGAGGATAAAAAAAGGAATTCATGAACTATTGATTCATTGTTTGTCTTCCTTGATGCACTTATACATTTATTCATTCATTTTATGACTGAATGACTTGGAAAATTATTTACAAAATTAAAGAAAGCCATATCACAACAGTACTCAAAATTTTTCACACGAAATATGAAACTCTTGAATTGAAAATGCCTTGAAACTGCAAGAATTTCATTTTTCCCTTTAAATTGAGGATAAAAAGAAGGAATTCATGAATTATTTATTCATTTTTGGCATTCCTTGATGCATTTATTAATTTATTTTATGACTGAATGACGTGAAAATTCATTTATAAAAGTAAAGAAAGCCATATTATAACAGTACTCAAGATTTTTCACACGAAATATGACACTCTTAAATTGATAATGCCTTAAGATCCCACGAATTTTATTTTTCCCTTTAAATTGAGGAGCAAAAACAGGAATTAAAACGTAAAAATCTTCCTCTCTCTTCTCCATTCCTTCATTCACTTTCAACTGAACTGAGAAAAAAAATAGTAAAACTGAAAAATTCAGTTGAAATTCAGCTATTCCCTTGAATTCTGTCCCTTTAAATCGGGACTAAAAATCAGTCCATTCGCCTATTTATTAATTTTTCCCACCCATCCCTGCCCTCAAGCGATTATTTATTCACTTTACGAGCGAACGCCCAAAAAAATAGTTCGTAAATTCTCGAAAAATAATGGCAAAACTCCGAAAAAACTGAATAAAAGAGGGTGAATTTGAAAGCGGTTTTAGACCCCCACCGTTAAAATACCAGAGCCCCCCCACAGTGGGACAACTCCTTTTGGCAGTGTGTGTGCCCTTAGATTTAGGCGGGACCCCTCAGCCCCGTTCATTGGTCCCGCCATGTCCCCCACCAGCGGCCGCAACTCTATAAGAACCCCGTAATCCTCCACACGCCAGCATTCTCAAGATTGTGTTCGTCCAGGCAACAACCCTCGAGTTACCGACAACTCGGGGTCTTGCGAATTTATCTAAACCCGTTGCAATCATCAAAATTAAACCGTACAAGATAAATTCTAATCCAAGTCAGCATTTTTACACAAAAATCTAGTGAATCTGTTTGGAATAATCGAACTTCATTGGTAAAAATTACGAAATCGTCGAGAATGTTGTGGGAAACAGTTACAGACTCTTGTGATGTGTGTCAATGTACAAGGTATGCATTTATGGAAATTCAAGTGCAGTGATGATTATTGTAATCCATTCAAATGCGGAAGAAAATTATGAATTAACAGAGAATTCAGAAGATGTGGAAAAAGTCGAGTCGATTCTGCGCTCAGTTTTTGGGAAATATCTCCGGATCTAGTTGAGATAGCAAAATTTTTGTTGAGACCTTTTTTGTAGCCCGCACTTTTCCCTACAAAAAAGGTCTGAACAATAATCTCGCTAGCTCCATTAGTTTCCGAGATATTTCGAAAAACCTGATCTGTGAAGTGAATGCGATTTGCCTCGTTTCACGTTTTTTGTTCATTTCTCTTGATTCATTTGAAATCTAATGGCAGGACCTAACACTAACGAGGGGAACTAATTAATTAACAGATAATAATAATCAGTCTTCAAATATTACTAAAAAAAATATGAATCGGATTTCCAAAGACATTTGCTCAAGCTTGAAGAACTCAAGGAATTTTCAATTACATCGTCTTTTTAAAATTTGTTATCTCATCAGTTTTATTTCCCAATAGTCAGCAGTTTGAATGAAAAATACCGCGTATCACCTACCGCTGCAATGCCGTACTAACCCCCCACCCGCCTCAGTTGCGCGCCAACCTCCACCGGGCTAGTGAGTCTCGTCCTGTGAATTCAGTAAAAAATCCAAAAAGTGCGTGTTTATGAATTAAAAAATTGGATTGTCGATGTTCAGTCGATGTAATCGGACCATTGGTACATAACGAGTTCATTACAACTGCACTTTTTCATTGAATAACGTGCACTCTTGCGAAATCATCGCATGCTTGACCTACTAATTTATTTCTTCGTGTGATTTTTACTCTTCTGAGCCTTTTATCAGTGAAATATTCTCTGAAAAATTACTTTCCCGTAAAAAAATGATCAGTTTCTTCTGAATATTTTTTGTCAATCTTTTTGGAGCATCGGAATGTGTTGAGGTTATGCTCACATCCCGCGTTTTCTTGTTTACAAACTGGAATTTTTTTCCGAGGTGAAAGTTGATCGAATTGTCCTGGAGTTTAACGGGTTTTTTTCATTTTTGTTGTTTCAGACTCTTCAAAAATGTATTCAAAATCAAAAGTACCCCAGAGGGTGCGGTGAAATCTCGATTGAGGGGTCGTCGGCTGCTGGGCATGGCGTCGCGACGCCTCAACAGCCCCGAGCCGAGATCACCACTACAGTTGATCAATAAAGAGAATGGAAGCGCACCCTGCAGCCCACACCAGTCAACGAGTCCACTGAAGGTAAGGAAGTCCATTTGAATTTTATAAATTTTTTTATTATGGTAAACAGGTCAATTTCTGGACGGGGGATAATTTCTGGAGATTTTAACTTCCATTGAATATTCCGTTAATAAACTGACGATTGGACTGATTATTTCACCTTTCAATAATATTAGGGGAGGTTGGGGTAAAATGGACACTTTAGACATTTTAAAAAATGTTAATGACGGGTTGAAATGTTGATAAAATTTAATCATTTTTTCTTCATTGCAAAGAACAATTCTTTCCCTTTGTGATGAGCCTAAACTGAGCTGAATTGATAAATTTGTTTCTGAGTTATGAGTAATTAAAACAAAAGTCTAAAGTGTCCATTTTAGTCCACTCTCCCCTACTCGTGTATAATCATGTGATTAATTATTTTTTGATCGACATTTAAGGAGAGACGGAACCCCTTTGTCTACATAAAATCTTAGAATTGGGTTTTCTCCTACATTTATTAATTTTTGCCTATGAAATTACTTTATCGACTCGATTATCGCATTGTTGAGTTAATAAAGTAGTTTAATGAATAAAAAATAATAATTGCAGGAGAAAACGCAATTTTAAAGATTCAAAATAATGGAAAAAATGGGAAAATTCACGGGAGAATATTCTGAGTATGCTGTAGCATTGAATATTCTTGCACATTTTTTTCGTTTCACCCCCCCTGTGATCTACAGACGAAACACCTTAATAAATAAATAAAAATACGGTCCAGAAATTAGGGCCTTTGGCTGCATTCAACTATTTCTTAATTTAATTATTTTTTGTTTTGTAATAAACATTGAAGGTATGGAAGCCATCGTATCGCCATTTAGGTGATTCTTTTATTTTAGATCCTACCACCAAACTCGGATTTCCCTTAACCGTCCAGCAATTGTTCAACACAAGAGAAAATTCTCAACGGAAAATTCAATAATTCATGAATTAAATCATTTTTTTTTTCGGGAATTTGGAAATCTGTTGGGGGACAGGTGTTGCGGATTTGAATACATTAACGATTTTGATTATTTGGAGACTGGGATTAGATATTCAAACGAATTTTCTTTAATTTATTCAACACCTTGCATCAATACTTGGAATCAAGAGATTTTATCGGCAGTTTCTTTATTTGCCTGGAATTTAATTTGATTTGTTAAATTTTTCAAAACAAATTGTTTTTCTTTTTGTTATCGTATTCAAGTGAGAGATGTCTCTTAATGTTTCATAATTTTCTGAAAATTACTTCAGGCTTGTTAAAATGAATAATTGAATTTTTTCCAAAAAAATCAAATCCATTCCCTATTTTTTTTAATCAGATCGTTTTTTTCTTTCCCTAAAAATATTCAATAACTAGATAATTCGATGAATATAACAGTCACCAAAACTCCATTAAAAATCAGAAAACTAATAATTTCCAGAAGATGCCTTCACCCCATTCTGAAACTATAAACAATCAAATTTTCTAAAAAAAGCTATGAAATCAAACTGAGTTTATAATTCCCCTTCATCACAATGAGTAAAAAATCATCCCCTGACGTGTCATTAATTATCATTCAGATGCCCTCGACAAAGTCTCGCCTCCCCCTGGAGGACTGTGACCCAAACAGCCAGGACAGTGGCTACGGTGCGAGTTTCACAGACCGTGAGGACCTCTCAAAATGTCCCTCGAGCTTCAGATTCGCCGAGCCCCTGGGTGTTGCCCCGAAGAGGATGTCCCTGGACTCGCCAATTCGTTCGTCCCCCTCCTCAAAGCGTCCCTCAAAGCTCCTCATGAAGAAGCTCTCCTCAGGCTACGAGTCAACCGAAGACGACTTCAACGATCTCCTGGACATGGACACCTTCATGGAGCCGACCTCCTTCCCCAACGACCTCAACAAGCTCCTCTCCGGTGAGATAATCCCGACGATGGAGAGCCTGGAGAAACCGATGGAAACCGACGCAGCCACAACCCCAGAATTCGCGAGGACAAAGCCCCTGGGTATCAGACGCTCAGTCTCCATAAACGACGACAGACTGATCTGCAGAACCCCCCCAATGTCTCGAGTTCGTTCTTGCCTGTTTCGTTCACCCAACGCCACCTCCTCAACATCTCGATTGTCCTTCGACGAGAACAGAAACTCCCCCTATCCCTCTCCCACACACATGAAATCCTTCAAACGTCCAGAGCCTCCAACAGACTGCAGTCCAATACTAGTCAAACGATGCAAGAAGAATCACCTGAGGGAGACTGAGATGTCCCCCACGTCGTCACCACCATCTCCATCATCTTCATCCTCGAAATACACCAGACACATGCTGCAGAGGAGTCACTCAGAGACAGAAGCCCACGCCCACATTAAATCAGCAGTTCACAGGAGCACAACAGACTCAGATCTGACTGGAGACTTCAGCAAAACCTGCATTTTACCCCTGGCTGAGGGACACCACGAGGACCTCAAGTCCATCTCAGCTGAGACATTATCTGCATTGATGAGAGGAGAGTTCGGTGAGTCTGTGGGCTCGTTTAAAATCGTGGATTGCAGGTATCCCTACGAGTACGAAGCTGGCCACATCGAGGGGGCATTGAATCTTTACACTAAAGAATTGATCGAGGAGTATCTGATGAATCCACTGACCCAAACACCTGAGATCCAGCCGGACAGCAACAAGAGGAACATCATTGTTTTCCACTGCGAGTTCTCCTGGGAGAGGGGCCCCAATCTCTCTCGATACCTCAGGAACATCGACAGAAAGATGAACAAGGAGCATTATCCTGCACTGCATTATCCTGAGATCTATCTGCTTCATGGGGGGTATCAGCAGTTCTACCAGCATCAGAAGCCTCTCTGCAGTCCTCAGGGGTACAGGCCCATGACCCATCCCGATCATGAGGCTGATCTCAGGAAATTCAGGAGCAAGAGCAAGAGCTGGCAGGGGGAGAAACATCGCACCAATGGACTCTCTGCGAGGGCTAATCTCAAGAGACTTGGATTGTAAATATGTTTAGAGTCAGTTGTGATGAGGTACAACGTGGACCTTTTTTAGTCTCGTGAGATGTTTGATTCTCTGCGGTAAAGGCTGGAGATATTTCGATAGGTTCCAGACACTGAGAAAACAACATTGTTTTTGCCAAATGTTCGTTTACTCGACTGGAGAAATGCGAATTTGAAAAAATATAAATCCTCTTGAGTCATTCCTAGAAGAGCCTGATTAGATTTCAATTGTGATAAACATGTTGATCTAAATGATGACTATGGTGCACATGATAGTGGATGACCTCCTCTATTGATTATCCATTTTCCCTAAATTTTTTATTTTCTAGCGGACAAAATTTCCCTTGATTTTTTAATTGTTGAGGGATAATTATTCAGGGAATTCACTCAAGGTTATAACTATCATAATCATCTAGAGCAATATAATTGCGATAATTGAAACCTAATGAGAATTACCTGTTAACGATTCAATTCTTGAAATAACTATTTCTCCAGTAAATGGATATTTGACAAAAAAAAATTTTTTTCTCAGTGTACACTGAGAAAAAGGGATTTTGAGGAGGGAGTTTTTCACGTCAATTAAGAAAACTATAGCTTGAATTTTTTCATTAACGATATTGATTCATGACAAGAAAGTACGAAAATATTTTGGATTTAGAGTAAAAATCTTGAACAAATTGATTCAACTAGAGACACCACTTTCTTGTCAGGAAATAATTGTCCTAGTCTTTGGGACAAGTGCAAAAAATCTCGATTGGAAGTTTTTTTTTCCCAATTTGAGAAATTTTCTCTTGAATATTTTCAAGCTAAAGGTACACTCCTCAGAGAAATTTGTTTCCCCTCAGTGTTGTTGTTTGGACAAATCCAGAGGTGAATAAAAACCACGTTTCATGAATTCACAACTGAATTGGTTCCAGATGCTGGCATATTTATGAGGCTAACATCATAACAGTGCAAAATAGATACATTAAACTCTCGTCCCTTTGTAAATATAGTAAATAATTTTGAAGGAATTAAGTTGAGAACAAATGATCTAGTACAATTGAACAAAATGCGCTTATTTCTGAATTGTTGATTAGCACATGGACACTTAGAAATGTCTCAGAGTAGCATTCAGATTTTTTTTTTCCACTTGTATATAAGAGTTATATTCGGGTAAAGAGAACATTGTACAAACCAGTACTTTAATTTAAATGAAGGAGAAAATAATGCAATAGCCCATAGCTGAATCCTAGGGACGGCTGGGCCTTTCGCAGGGCTGCTGGTAATCGTGGACTCGTCCTCGTCGTAGATATATATTCTAATGCTTCCACATGTAAATTAGGGCGGGCATCCCACTGTACAGAGTTGACAGCCGTTTACACAGATTAATATCGAGCAGCCCTGTCATGAGTTCATGTTTAGAAGGAAAAAAGGCGATACATTTTTTTCAGATTGTCTCAACCTCCAATGAAATATCAAATTAAAATTATATCATCTTTTGTTGCGTAGAAGTCACCTCCCAGACTTTTCAAGTCTTCATTTACCGCTTACAATGACTTTTGTGTCATTATTATTATTATTTTGTTCTGGGTTTTTTTTTTGAGCGATTGGCCAAATACTGATTAAATGCGAAACTTTGTAATGGGAGGTTTATTGTGTATAAAGTATTTCATGTTCTACGTAATTTTGAATAAAAAATGTGAAAAAATAACTGACGTTTTGAGAATTCATTGGATTATTGATTCATCAGATTCATTCATTTATTCAAACTTTTTTTTATGAGAATTAAATTTTGTTAATTCATGGGGGTGGGTGGGGCAAAATGAAACAGCCGAAAAACGACTATTTGACTTATTTCAAGCAAAAAGATTTTTTTTCATTACCTTTTGTTTAGTAACTTTTTTTATTATCGGGAGTACAGATGAGAATAATGTTTTATTCGTCTTATATTTCAATTGATTACAATTCAGTTCATTAGATTAGGCCGATTACACTTTTTTTTCATTCGATTGAAATTCAGTGTCATTTTCCTATTTCCCAATCTGGGTCTCCCCCTGGGCCTTTCTCTGGACTTTGGATTTTGCTGTTTCCTTCAAATCTTCTCAATAATTTTCCATTCTACCGAATGGAAAATTATTATTTTAATCAGTGCTCCCCATAATAAAAAAAGTTAATAAACAAAAATTGATAACACAAATAGTTAAAAAACATTTCTTTGCTTGAAAAGCGTCAAACAGTCGTATTCTTGACTGTTTCATTTTGCCCCACCCCTCCCTAATTAAAATAATTTAAGTAAAACAGTTTGAGTCGATTTTGACTATTGGCCGGTTTTCAGTGAATATCTCGAAATCTAAAGGAGATAGCCAAATTTTGCTTAGAACCTTTTTTACAGCCCTCAATGCGCTCTACAAAAAAGGTCATTACAAAATTTTCGCTATCTCCCTCAGATTCGGAGATATTCCTCTTGTATACAGTAGTATGTATATACCTGTCGATAAGTCAGCTGAGAACTACGTCAACAATTTTTAAGGCTTGTTTTAGACTTTAGACTAAGACGTCATTTATTGAAATCATGCCAATTGTTCGAAAGATGTTGATGTTTTTCACTAATTTATGTTTTTCTCCTCAATTTTTTTTTTCATTTTGCTCAACAAGAGGAATTTTGTTGAGATTCTTTTTCACCACTGAAATGATTTAGGTAGTGCAAAAAGCGAAATGATTTTGTGGAGATGGTACCGGTTGCCGGCTGTGCGTAGTAGACTCGCGCCGGCAACACTGCAGCCAATCAACAATCCACTATAATCAGTGGGCGCGTTTCGCAATCGACGTAGTAGCAGTAGCAGTACTGCAACCCTATCTAATTTTGCTTTACTGCAGCTACGGTAGTTGATTCCGAAACAAATACCTCTCGAAACTTCGCAGTCCCATAACTGCATTGATCCCATTATTCTCGTGTCCAAGGAGCAACATGTCAGTCATTTTTATCACCGCAAGTAATAATAACAATAAAAACAAAAGCATATCTAGAGTTCAGCTTTCTTTTCATGAAAAATTATAAAATAGAAATTCAAAGTTTAAAATAAAAATTCAAAACTTTCCATTGCCTGATGGTGGATTTACTCGTTATTGAGTCGCATTTTATTGCATGAAAGTAATAAAAATTGATCAAAACGACGAATCGAAATTAATCCATCATTAATTAGTCTGCCCGCCTGATAAATCGTCTGGTTTTTGTTCTAAAAAATACTTTTGCACTGCAGCAACGGCTGTTAATCGACTCATAGGGAATATTGGAAGCCATTATTTTTCGACAATGGCACAAGCCCTGAAAACCCACGAGGTAGTTCCCGATGTGATTGATCAGGTTCCACCGGCTGTCGTCGACGTTACCTATCTGAATAACCTCAAAGTTGAGATTGGCAAGGAGCTCACTCCTACCCAGGTGAAGGACAAGCCGGAGGTCAAGTGGAATGCTGAGGCTGGTGAATTTTACACTCTATGCATGACCGGTATGTTTCAATCGATGAAGGAATTGATCAAGTAATTTATTTATCAATTCATTTATTCATTCATGAAGATGTTATTCACTTCTTGAATTTTTTTATGATCAATTTTTATGTTTGAGGAGAAAATATGAGACCTTTTTTGCAGCTGGCGAAATTTTTCAACACAAAATCCCTTTAATACTCAATTAATTGATCAATAATCCATTAATTCATTCATTAACTCATTTAGTCATTTATGAAGATGGCGTTCACCTCTAGAATTTTTTTATGTTTGAGAAAATTAGAGAACTTTGTTGTAGCTGGCGAATTTTCCTCACAAGAAGATGCCTTTTATATTCAATTAATCCATCTATAATCCATTAATTTAACTCATTTATCCATTCATTAATCTTTCTTTCATCTCTTCAATTTTTTTTCATGTTTCATTCTTCTCTTTTAGTGTGTAGTTGGTAATTGACGAAATATTGAAGACTTTCTAGTGACGGTGACGTCACATCTGCCATTGTATTTCTTAATTTATTTATTGAATGAGAGGTTTGAGTAGAAAATATGAGACCTCTTGTTGCAGCTGACGAAATTTTCAAACCGGAAAATAACTTTCATCTTTCACTTCCCATTAATCGTCTCAAGTGATACAGCATTTTTTTCAATTACGCAATTATTTCAATAATAAGTTTGAAGTTCTGACGTTTTCCTCTAAAATCCCTCAGTTCCGAGATAATTGCACAATTAAAAAGCTCGAATTATCTCCATAATGAGCAGTTTTAGCGGAAAACATTGTTAAACGAAAGCCCCTTGATATCTTTATCAAGCGATTTTGGGGTGAAATTCATGATGAAGAGAGTTCAAATGAAAAAGAGAAGATTAAAGATAAACGAATTGAAGAGAAACGAAGGGAAAGAACAATGATGTAATAATATGAAGGCATTTGCCCCTGAAGTTTAAAGTTGAATTTCATCCTCTTCTAGATCCTGATGCACCATCCCGCAAGACTCCAACATTCCGTGAATGGCACCACTGGCTAGTGGCAAACATCCCCGAGAACCGAGTATCCGAGGGTGAAGTGCTCTCGGACTACATCGGCTCAGGTCCCCCCAAGGACACTGGTCTCCATCGCTACGTGTTCCTCGTGTACAAGCAGCCCGGAAAACTGGTATTCGACGAGAAGCGCCTGACCAACAGGAGTGGAGATGGTCGTGGAAAGTTTTCCATCAGGAAATTCGCGGAGAAGTACAAGCTGGGGCAGCCCATTGCTGGAAACATGTACCAAGCAGCATGGGATGACTACGTCCCAATTCTCTACAAACAGCTTGGAGATTGAGTTCCACACTTCCATTGATTTTTTGATTATTTTTTTTTATTCTTCCTGAGTGACAATTGTCGTGATCATATTTTCAAATTTCCTCCATTGATAATAAAATTCTCAAGGAAAATACGTTCGTTTTTTATTATTGGCGACTGTAGGGGAAAAGAATGTTTTGAACATATTTTATTTTTATTTTGAAGCCGTCAATTCGTTAACATGACTCTTAAGTTTTTAATTATCTAAGTAATCATCAATTGAAATGTTCAAATTCTGAATTATTTTATTAACTAGGATTCGTCCGCACGCTCCGCGCGCGTATGTCCTACCCCATGGGGCTTAATGTTTGTCAATTGCAGTGAATAGTGTTATATTAAATTTCTGCAGTGTATATCAAGTCTTCCGAAGAAGTTTTCGGAATTTATTCTATTCTTTTATAAATGATACATCCACTGTGACGTTTTTGGAAGCCGATCTATTCGGCGTATTGTGTCATTAGATTTTTTATTTGACTGATTTGATTATTTTTTTGGTTATTGCTGAGTCACATTTGTCAGGATTATATTTTCATATTTTTTATATTGATAATTGAGGGTCATGATTTGTCTAGGTTTAGCTGGAGGGATTTCACTCTAATATTCTTTAATTGTTGACGGTTAAACAGCCCCTATTACCCCACTCTCCTTGCAAAAAAAATCCCCTGAAGAAATGAATTAAATCGCAATCCAAAAGAGAGGATTTCAGGAAAGAGAGGAAAAAATAGGAGTGTACACTGAGGGAAAAACGACAAAGGTCTCAAACAAGGCTTACTTGTGCCGAGAAAATAGTTTTTTGAAAATTATCAGAAAAGGATTTTTTTGTGCCAAACATGCAGAGAGTGCGCCGGAATGAGAAATTTTTGTCGCAAAAATAGATTTAGTAGTTCAAAAAAAAATTGCATTCTCTGTACACGTAAGCAATGTCATTTCTAGCACTATTGCTTCGTTATTATACTCCCATACGTATTTTGCTCCCGAAAAATCTTTAAAATCTGCTTTATGCGACACAAGGGATAGTAGTTTTTCGTTTCGGCTGTCCAATAATCACGAACAAGAAATGAACCCTTAAATGAAACAATAATAATGATATGATAGCAATCTTGTAACTTAAGGATAAAATATTTGTTGATAAATTTTCCTCTACATGAGATATTTTCATCCTGAAAAGGCACTGTCTGGTGTGAATTATCCGTCTCTTGAGCCAAATATTTAGTTGCTGTCGAAAGCAGAACAATTATTCATGTTTGAGACTTTCAAATTCGAACCAAATTCTTTTTTGGCAATTTTCAACTAGCGATTTTGTTGGCCCAAACAAGACTTGTTTGACAACGTGTTTGTTTTTCTCTCAGTGTATCAAAAAATTTTCAACAATGTTCGACATTTAATTGAGTATTTCTCCTTCACAAGAAGTGGTACGTGACATCTCCCCCAGACTCATTCGTTATGGGGATAATCCCATATTCACCTGTCATTTCATAAAAATTCTATTCTATTCTAAATATTAAAGAGCAACATTGAATCTCAAATTCATAGAACAGGATCATAAATTCAGCTGAAACGTCCTCATTCTCTCAAAATGGACGAGAAGTCTCCCCAATAGAATGAAAAAACGTGAGAATAACTTCTTCAATATATGAGATGTCTCAAACGAAATGAGTATCAAACTCATTGGAAACTAGCTCCGGGCGTCCTTGTGTGTCTCACCAACATTCAACCGAGAGACAATATAAGAACGTCTGTTTCCCCATCGACCCCGTTAGTTGAGCATCGGGTGTGTGCAGAAGCAGTCGCTATGCAGCAGTCGGCAGGTAGATAAAAAATCCCCCCCCAAGAAAACCCATTTCCTCTCCACGTAAATAACTAACAACTTCATTTATTCTCCAGTCATTCTCCTCTGCACTCTGGGAATTGCTTTTGCGGACGTGAAATCGGATTTCGAGGCGGCGAAAATTGTCCCTGATATTATAGACAGTGCGCCGTTGAAGAAAATTGAGGTGAGACATTTTGTTAATTTCATTTCTTCATTTTTTGGGGATTGAACGCTGATAAAAGTGCTTTTCTTTTGTTTAGATCAAGTATGGGGACAAAGAAGTGAATCTTGGAAATGAGTTTGCACCCACTGAGACGAAAAATATCCCAGAAGTTCATTATGAACATGAGGGAGGAGTGCTGTACACACTTGTTATGACAGGTAAACTATTTAATTTTGCTAATTGGTTAAGTATTTCGGTGATGAATTGATCAATGTTGCTTTGGATGAAAATGTCAAGGCACTTTTTATGTAGAAGAGGAAATTCTCTAAATAATTTTACATTCACGAATTTTTATGTTATAAAATCCCAATTGTAAACGGTTTTCTAGGACACTGGATCTACAAAAAAATTCTGACATTTTCTCCTAGAGCAGTCATTTTTGATAACATTTTATGTTTAAAAAACTATTCCCATTGGGAATTCAATTCTAAACCCACGTCTTGTCAATCTCGCGCTGTTCCCCGATATCAACTTATGTTGTATAATGAGTCACGTGACAAATAGGCAAGGAACTTTCACCGTCTCGAAACCGGTTTTCCAGTCGCATTAAGGATAATCGGGTGAGGAGGAAATGTAGGAGATAAGGCGGAGGGGTTTCTATTGTTTTCCTGCAGAAAACCAATCGCTGAACAAAAAAATTTTTCCCATTCGGATTCAAAATTCAGGCAATATTAGGGAGTATCTCCGGTTAAAAATTATTTTTGGAGCTAATCAAATTTATTTGTATCTGTTCCACGCATTGAATGGTTTTCAGATTGTTTTTTTTTAATAAATGAAAAAATATTAATCCATGCGAAAAAGTGGCAACATCGTCATTTTTAAAATCTGAAAAAAAATCTGAATGGTTACTTTTGGAGGAAGATTGATTGCAATTTAAAAAAAAAGACGAGCATTTTCTGCAAATAATTTATAAGCAATCAGTTATTCACCATAAAAATCTTTTGTTCGAAATCGTAACAAATTTATTCAAATTCAGAATTTTACCAGAAATCGATTTCATTCCTAAAAAAATGACTTCCGAAAGTTTAAACAATTTCAATTATTCATTTATACCCCACGAATGTTAAAAAAAAAAAATTCTGTGCAAAATGTAATTTTAATGGCGCTGAATATGCATAATTTTTTTCAAATTTTTCTCACGCAATTTAATTAACAAATTTGATAATTGAAAATGGTTGAATCTATAGTGCGATTTCTACCAAACTAATATACATATACTCGGATATTCTTAATGTTTCCCCAGATCCTGACATCCCAGTGCGAGGATACAACCGAGAATGGCAGCACTGGGTCGTTGGCAACATCCCAGAGGACAAAGTGGCCAAGGGTGAGGTGTTGACTGAGTACGTGGGGCCAGCGCCTCCAAAGGGCTCCGGCAAACACAGATACGTTTTCCTGCTGTACAAGCAGAACCAGGGATCGATAACATTCGACGAGAGGAGGATTGGTAACAGGGACAACCGACGAAACAGATTTTCGGTCAAGAAACTCGCTGAGAAGTACAACCTTGAGGGTCCACTCGCTGGAAACTACCTCAAGGCTGAATACGACGATTATGTTCCTGTTATTCACAAGCAAATAGGGAATTAAGTATCAATAATGCATCTTCGCTAATATGTAGGGTGTGGGGGAATGGTTAAATGTTGATAATGGATGCAAAATGTTATGGTAATTTGACAATTCAACAATTGATAACATGAACAACATGAAAAAATGGATTTTCCCTAAAGTTACAATTTTTATAACGAAAATTGTAAAAAACAAATCACTCTTCGACGTTTACCACTCCCTTGATACATTAAAATTGAAGAAAATTAACATTGTGTTGATAATGGGTGAAAAACATGATGATAATTTGATAATTCAACAATTGACAACATGAAAAACTGCATTTTCCTTTAAAATTACGTTTTGTATAACAAAAATTGTGAAAACATTGATTCTTCGATATTTACCACTCTCTTAAAGCATTAAAATCGAAGAAAATCAATATTGAGATTGTACTATGAAGAAAAAACTAATAAAAACTGAGGAACATTGTTTTTTAGGTCGATAGAAAATTATTTGCAGTCAATATACCCTAGACGATACTAGGATTGGTAACTGGACAAATGACGATTATATTCCTGTTATTCACAAGCAAATGGGGAACTAAGTATCGATAATCAATCTCAATTAGCATTTATGCAGACGATTCGATAATTCAACACCTTACAGAATGAAAAAAAAATGAATTTTCCTCCAAAACGACAATTTAAATAACGAAAATTGTAAAAAAAAATTCACCCTTGGGCAGAAAAACAACTGCTAAAATCTGAGGAACATTTGTTTTTTATTCCGATAGAAAATGATTTGCTGACGGTACAACATCGTCCTTTGGTATGGCAACATGTATACACTAGACGATAATTCATTAATATCCAATGCCTATTCGTCGCAATTGTCACCACTCCCCACTATCAACAACACCCTACCTATACTTATGCATAGTAAGCGAAATTCATTGCGTCATTCATCATCAAAATAAAATTCATCACTTCCCTGAAGTAACAAACGAGCCATGAAAAAAACTAATTGGTAATAAATAAATAAATACCATCATACCGATACATTTTTAAGTGTTGCAACTAGGTGTGTTAATTTCCTCCGTCATAATGCCCACTGCACATGCAGCAGGCGAAAGTCTGTGAAGACTGTGCGCACTAGTGCATTCATTATTCCAGTAAATAAACCAATTTTTAAGGATAATTACGTAAAACTAAATATGAGTGAACAGGAAATAAAGTAAAATAATATTCTAGTTATTTTAAATCACATTCATAAGGAAATGGATCACGTGTAAAAAATCTAATGGAATTATCTCTGAAATTCCAGTGGATTTTTGCAATTCACACGGGATAGTCTCAATATTTTTACACTAACGGTTCAATTAGGCATGACTAGAATGTCGTGTACGCGTTGTTGAAATAAAAATTCGTTAGCTAATCTTAACATCTAGTGTAAAAAAACTTAAACAATTCAATAGTCTCGATTAACGAAAAAAGAAACAAAAATGATTAAAAAATTTCGCCGAATTTCACGAGATTCGTTGAGCCTGTGCGTTATGCAATCACCCCCTGGGGGCAATCATATCACTATTAACTTCTTGCGAATAGATTATGGCTTTCAGACGTCATAAATACGAAATGTAAAATTGATACGTATCCGAGTAGAATGACGTGTTGACTGAGCTACTACTCCGCAACGCATCACTCATTAATAAAATGTCATTTGAGATTTTTAGGCAGGAACGTAGCCCTCTTGCTGCATCAACTGGTTGACCAGTCGATTTTGGGGTTTTTATTTCAAGGCAGTACGAGATCAGGATTGACGGTGATGTTCCAGCAGAGCTCGTGATCCCTGATGTCACCCCAGCCACCATTACCCTTGCGCAATTTCGTCTTCTTCGTGATACTCGCTATTGTCAGGGTCAACTGGGACGGGAACAGGTGCGCCCTGGCTGACTTTAGTACGTTTTGGACTTTAGCAATCACGGCTGTTGACTCACAGTTGTTCGTTTTATGGTGAACACCACTGGAAATAAAATTAAGTTTACGGTTCCTATGGATTTTGACTGGTTGGTTTCAGGAAAGTGACGTACTCTCCTGAAACCAAAGTCTGTAATCACTGATGTTTACAGACTTTTGAACCACAGGAAGACGAGGATTCCCCAACTTTCTTGAATGCTTAATAAAAACATTGATATTCTAGTTATTGTCATGATTTCCATCGATTTTTTTCCTCAAAATTTTGAATTTACAATTATGAAATGAAAATGAATCCTTGAAGTTTCGGCGGAAAAATTTCAACAATGTTCAATGGTCAACTGCAAATTTCTCTTCTACAAGACGTGCTAAGTTATTTTCCTCGAGAGCTGATCATTTTGCAATTTCATAAAAATCCTAATTCAGTAGAAAAATCCGTTTTCCTCCCGACAATATTTGAAATATTTGAAAAAAAACATTAATATTTAGCGTAATTAAAATTACATTTTGTACAGAATTATTATTTTTTGAAACATTCATTGGTTATAAATCAATACTTGAAATTGTTTAAACTTGTGAAAAATTCATTTTTTCATTTTAGGTATGAAATCGATTTCTGGTGAAATTCTGAATATGAATATGGTGATAAAATTTATTGTTTAGAAATTATTTACAAAAACACGTAATTTTCAAAAATTGCAATTTTTTAATTATTTCGTCAAACTTTATCCAATAGTAAACTTTCTAATTTTTTTTTAGACTTTAAAAATGTTTTCTAACCGTTCAATATCAAGATTCAAAATGAGATCTGCGAAGTTTAAATAATCAAATCATAGTAAAGGTTCAAATGGAGCTCAAATGAAACCTCTAATGTTCGTCTTCAAAAGTGAAAAAGCATTTCACTGGAGAAAAAATACCCAAATTACTTGGATATCCTTCAAGAGGAATTAAAATTCCCCAAGAATTAAACGATAGTTAAAACTCCCAAGAATTAAAAGGGAATTAAAATTCCCAAGCATTAAGAGGGAATTAAAACTCCCCAAGGATTGAAGGGAAATGAAAATTCCGGCTCTCCTCCCACGAAATAATTCCCACATTACCATTCACCAATGTGAAACACCCTTGGTGCACGCATCATCATGGTAACAAGGCCGGAATCAACTCTGGGCGCAGGCCCAGCACCCCTGCTCGGCGGAAGACACGTCTGTGCAACATGCTGAAGACTCCAGTCCCAATTATAATCATCGTACGAGCAAAACTGTGAGGCGCATTTACGCAGCTTGTTCCACGTAATGCGGTTGAAAGCCATTCCCATATTATGTTTGCTGGATATCCACGGTGTCACCTCGGCCTGCATAAAAAAGCATCTCATCAATCCCTCGGACTCTCTCTTCACCCGAGTCCTGTTCCCAAAGAATATTCACTCTCCCATAAAAAATGAAAAGTTCAAATAGGAAAGAGTGGGGCAAAATGAAACATGAGGCAAAATGAAACAGTCGAAAAAACGACTGTTCGCCGCAATTCAAGCAAAAAACAATTTTTTTTATCAACTTTTTTTATTAAGGGTGCCAAGTGAATTTGAAAAAAGATTCAAAAAAATTTTGTTCTTTCCCTCCATCATTGGAGAAATATGTATTCATCCATCCGACGAAATTTCAAACCCGCAACCGGAACTAGACATCGAGAAAATAAATGCGGAAAATCCTCTATTCGTGACGAACCTCGAGAAAGCATGGGATCAAATGGCGGGTTGAAATATCTCTCTTATTCACCCCGGTACCCCATTGTTTTTTGTCGCCATCACATTGAACACATCATTCCCCATATCTTCAAATTTTTTCAAATTTTTCTTGAGTTCCTAGGGGGTTGAAACGTTCAATTTAATCAAAACTCAAAAGTTCTAAAATTTTAAAATTGTCACCGATGTTCACCATCTGTCTAATACTATTAATTAAAAAAATTATAACTTTGTGGGTGAATGTCAATTTTCAAGGTCAGCGCCAAATTCACTTGGCACCCTTAAGGTCCGGATGGATTATCTTTCGAACGTGATCTTGGGATGTTGAGATCGAGATCTAACAGGGGAGTGGGATTCATCTGTGGAGGTAGTCGCTACCCTATTCAGGGGTTTCTAATATCAGTGATTTTTCCGCGCTGCATGTTCTTTTCTATCGAATAGAAAATTATTAGTGTCATCAGTACTGCCAATAATCCAAAAAGTTGAATAAAAGTTGATAAAAACAATTTTTTGTTGCTTGAATTGCGTCAAATAGTCGTTTATGGCACGCCGTGCAATAAGTCGAGTTTATCAAACTCGACTTCTGCACGATGTGGCATAAAATAGTATAGACCACTCGGGCATAAACTTCGTTTTCAACGAATGTGAATACAGACCTCGCCTTCGGCTCGGCCTGTAAACTTCACATTCGTCGAAAACGAAATTTGTGCCCTTGTACTCTAATGTACTATTATCGGCTGCTTCATCTGGCCCCGCTCACCCCTGTAAAAATTAAACAATCGTTCGAGTGCGAGACACACTTCACGGTCTGTGCATTTGATTCATTTATGCAGCAAGGTCACTCTCGAAATGTTAAACAACAAGAAAAAATGTAACGAATGACCTCGCGGCACTGCGAAATCTTGGAATCTACAATGGAGGAAGTGGTCATGCATAATGATCCTACGAGGCTCAGTGTGATATGCGGGGAAAATGTGTAGGCACGAATTATAATGTGCGTTTACGACGTTGAACTACACGTTATTAACGTTTACGACATGATTCAGGCAAGTAAGAGATGGGCATGCGGTTCATAAGGTAGTTCAATTAGAATTTGCATTGCCCCTAATGCAGCAAAAAATAATGATTCGGCAGAATTCGAACTGCGCAGATATCATGCGTTTTCTTTTTGCGAAGTGCCAATTCATGGACGTAAAAATTTCATAGAAAAACCCGGCGAATTGAACGGAAAATGTCCAATGGAAACCGGGGATGGCCAGCAATATTGCATTTCTTCAATATGAAAAGGATTTCCGACTCACATCAATGAAGGTTTAAATATACTCATCAAAATTTAAAAATAGGATAATATTAGTTATTTAAATTTCGGATTGATGATGAATTAAATATTGATATGAAACTGGAAATTTTCCATTAAGTAAATAGTTCTAATTTCGTTAAAGAGAGTTCAGATTAACCAAATAATTCCGAATTTGAATATTTAAATTGATGATTACTGGAGTAATTAAAGATTTAAGAGTGATATTAATCAATTGAAGGCTTCGAAATTTAACGGTAATTATGATTTATGAATATGGCCCTGATAGAAACCATTTCATGGAAACAATTCGCAGAATTTCATCTTTCTGTTCAACTTTTTCAAGTTTTTTTCATTCTATTTTTCTTCCGTTTTTATTTTTAGAAAATCAAACAGAAAAATTTTGAAAATTTGAGCCCAGGAATCTCTATAAAAAAACATCTCAATGTAATAAATTTTACAGAAAAATCGAATTTTATGAATTTTTCTGTCGAATATTTTCTAATAGGGACTCCGATAGGATAAAATTACAAAATTCCCCACACTTTTATGCAACAACTTTCGCTGACTCCCCCATGAAATTCTGCAATTTGTTCCCCACAAAAAAAAAACAAAATCATGCGATAATTTCACGAAATGAAAGTTTCCAAGTTCTTTCCATTCTATTTTTCTTCCATTTTTATTTTAAAATAATCAAACAAAAATTTGGAAAATTTGAGTCGAGCAATTTCTGTAGAAAACATCTCAATAGAATAACTTTTCTAGAAAAATCGAATTTTATTAATTTTTCTGTCGAATATTTTCTAATAGGGACTCCGATAGGATAAAATTACAATATTCCCCACACTTTCATGCAAGAACTATCGATGACTCCCGCATGAAATTCTGCAATTTGTTCCCCACAAAAAAAACAAAATCATGCGATAATTTCTCGAAATGAAAGTTTCCAAGTTCTTTCTATTCTATTTTTCTTCCATTTTTATTTAAAAAAAATCAAACAGAAAAATTTTGAAAATTTGAGCCGATCAATTTCTGTAGAAAATATCTCAATAACTTTTCCAGGAAAATCGAATTTTATCAATTTTTCTGTCGAATATTTTCTAATAGGGACTCCAATAGGATAAACTTACAAAATTCCCCACACTTTTATGCAACAACTTTCGCTGACTCCCCCATGAAATTCTGCCATTTGTTCCCCACAAAAGACCAAAATCATACGATAACCGGGATCGAGGGTAATTGAACTCGCGATATCTCGACAATAAATTCGCAATGTACACACAGGAAAAGAGGGGAAATGTTCAGCGATAAATCAATGATAGACCTTCTGGTAATGGCTGTAGAGACTCGGTAAGAGTTGATAAGCCCATGCGGGTGATGGTTGAATTGACTTGGTACTATGAAAAAATGGAGTTGAGCCAGTGCGACGAGTCTCGGGCGATGGTTTTCCCAGATGATGATTGTCATGTTTAAACTGCTGATGCTGCTGATACGTGTGTTGACGCTGTTCACGTCTGTCTAGGCCACGAAGCAGTTCCTTTTGGAGGACAGCATTCACACCGAGATACTGGGGGTATCACACATTGAAGCATGTTCTCATGTTCAAAAAAATGCCCCCCCATTCAGTTTCAGACCGGAAAAAATCTTGCGCTTCGATTCCCCATTCAAACGTGACGATAAGCACTTGGAGTGAATCAATAATGACTTGAAAATGAATCGCTAATGAATTATTGGGCCAAGATTTCGCGGTAGGTGCCGAACAACTCTCACTGATGAATTATTAACAAGTGATTAATGAACCGAAGTGATCTGACCAATGAATAATGGCAATTATCTTTTGGCTAATGGCAATTACCTTTCGACTGTAGTCTGCGTTGTAATTATAAGTCTTGAGATAAGTCCCCAGGGAGAGGACATTGCAACGCTCGCAGGCGTGTTTGCACGTATGCTCCATGAGCCTCAGTACATGGAGAAAATCCTCAGCCACATAGTGATCCTCCTCCAGAAATAGAACCATACCCGTGTGATTTCGGGTCACCGTGAGCTGATCAAAGACACGATTTGCCTTCCACCACCAGTGGTGCTTAGTCTGGGTGAACTTAGCCTCGCGGTAATGACCGTAGAGGTCTGGATGCTGAGCGTTTATGCATTTTAAGGCCAAGGCTCTGACGACACATTTTTTTTCATCAATTCATTTCCACTTGAGTATATTCTTGGAAAATGTCGTTTACAATTTTTAAATTTTTTTTTTCAAGATGTGTGGGATGAAGTGCAAATTTAATTAATAAAGATGATGGAGAGTACAGGAGTGGTTGACGCGATGAACAGTTGCTCTTAAAAATAAAATCATCCCCTATAGAACAAGCCGTGTCCGCAACCAAGGCTTTTCTTTTGGTTCTATTTCTTCTTGGTTTCTAATTGTGGTTTCTCCTACAATTATTAATTTCTATGTATGAAATTAGTTTATCGACTCGATCATTATATTGCTGAGTCAATGAAGTAGTTTCATCAATTAAAAATATTAATCGCAGGAGAAAATAAAATTCTAGAAGTTCATACAGACACAGGGGGTCCGTTTTCTCTTAACAGATGGGAGTTTGGAAAAATGGAATTTCAGGATGTTTACTATAGCTATTGGTCGAGTGAATGAAACTATTCATATGTCGATTCACAGAATATTTGTTGTTATGGAACGTGAAAATCAGGGGAATTAGAATTCCCCTGAAAAAATGACGACATACATTGATCTCATGAAATTCAACCTTTAGGAAAACAATTTTTTTAAAGAAATAGTTATTTGTAATGATAGAATGCTTGATTCTTACTGCTGTTTATTAGTGTTCCGAGGACAGTCATTGGGGTCCTCCCCCGGAAAACTCTTGGGATGCGTCTGTATGCTATGCGGATAAAAGATCTGCATGACCCGGCAAAAATCCACGCTCTGGATGAGGTAGTTAATGTCGGGATGCCAAACATCGTGACTGAATACCAAGAGCGCTTGTTCAATGCCCCGGGCTTGAGCTAATGATACAATGAGGTGTCTCAGGTACGTCAATCGCGAGTGAACCTGGATGACAATCACCGGTGCATCGGGCGCCAGTGGACCAAATGCATCGTCGTTATAAATTTTTTGCTCCGCATTTACCCTCTCGATGCTACGTTGAATCTCGATAATGTCTAGGTCAGCGAGACTACCGAGGGTTCCATTAGGGCCCTGATGGAGCGAACTATTACGTCTGTCTTTTAAGAATCTGGACATTTCAAGTAAATTGAGTTGAATTGATGCGATTATCGAAGCAGGAATTGAGGATTAGTTTTCAAGAGAGTGAGAGGTAAAACAATCGATTGAAGTATCTCGAAAACTGTTGAGGGGGCATCAGGATTTTCTGCATAACAAATGTAGGGAACTTCATAAAGAGTAAAATGAATTTTGACTCGCATCTCTACGATTCTTAGTTCTCGAGATATTAACGTTTGAATAAACATTCAAAGTAAGAAACGGTTTTATGCGTTATAAAATTCCCTGCATTTTCTCAATAGTTTCCGAGATGTGTTAACGAGATATCGGGATAACAAATGTAGGGAACTTCAGAACGAATAAAATTCATTTTGACTCGTATCTCTACGATTCTTAATTCTCGAGATATTAACGTTTGAATAAACATTCAAAGTAAGAAACAGTTTTATGCGTTATAAAATTCCCTGTATTTTCTCAATAGTTTCCCAGATGTGTTAACGAGACATCGGGATAACAAATGTAGGGAACTTCATAAAGAATAAAATGAATTTAGACTCGTGTCTACACGATTTTTAGTTCTCCAGATATCAACATTTGAATGAACATTCAAGGTGAAAAACAATTTTATTCGTTATAAAATTCTCTGCATTTTGCCAATAGTTTCCGGAATATTTGCCAGACAGAAACAATGTATTGATTCGAATATTGAACTCTACCTGTGTAATTCTTGAGGCACAAGGGAAAACAATGTTTCATTAGCCGATGACTGAGTTGGCAAATCCCTACCGGTGAGACTGATAACATGAAGCTGCAGCCACAGGAACGTCGCGAGGAAGACAAATGCCAGTGTCCTGATAATAGTACTCCGCCCCGATCTCGCACCTCCGACCGCCGAGGCACCTGATTTAAATTCCAATACTTTGAGACACTTCGTATACGAGTTTAATCACAGACTAGTGCCTATTCTACCCTACGAAGCAATTTCCAGGCTATTTTCTCGGGTACTGAGAACTAATCTAAAGCAATCGCGCATAATTATGGCTCACGCGAAGAGAAATTTATATTAAATATTACCCCCGAATTCTGAAATGATATGTTTTAAATTTCACTGGAATTTAGGGATACAATTTTCACGGAAATTTCTCTCCGAGAACAGAGGCCACTTGTTATCAGCATTTTTGGTGATTATTACCTCGCGTATATCCGGCTTTTTTTCTCGTGTACACGGAGGAGACTGAGTATGGCTTTACGAGTCCACGTTCGACATCGGACGCGCTCGTTTTTCCTAAAAAACCCAACGAATAAAAAAATAGAAACAAGTGGGAAATTGCTTTTGTATTGAATACAGTATAATTATTTTTGCTAATAAATTAGCAATATACTTCCTAATGATTATTTTGCACATAATTCCCTTCTATCGTGTATAATTCATTGGTCATTTCATTTTATTAAATTGAATAAGATTTCCTTTTACATAATGTTGTCAGATTTCCAACTTAGTTCAATGCTATCAGCATCATTATTCTCATTATCCCTTTTCGTCTGTACAACCGATTGTCTTTTTTACAGTTCTATCTCTCCCCTCAGCCCTCCGATAAAATGTTAATAGAATAATTTCAGTGGTGAAGTCGTAAAACGGTTTAAGTCGATTTTGACTATTGCCCGGTTTTTAGTGAATATCTCGGAATCTAAGGGAGACAGCTGAATTTTTATTACGACCTTTTTTGTAGCACTCAATTTGCTCTAGAAAAAACGTCATTACGAAAATTTCATTATCTGCTTTAGATTCGGAGATATTTTTCAAAAACTCAACTAAGAAATAAGTCGANCCTACAATTATTAATTTCTATGTATGAAATTAGTTTATCGACTCGATCATTATATTGCTGAGTCAATGAAGTAGTTTCATCAATTAAAAATATTAATCGCAGGAGAAAATAAAATTCTAGAAGTTCATACAGACACAGGGGGTCCGTTTTCTCTTAACAGATGGGAGTTTGGAAAAATGGAATTTCAGGATGTTTACTATAGCTATTGGTCGAGTGAATGAAACTATTCATATGTCGATTCACAGAATATTTGTTGTTATGGAACGTGAAAATCAGGGGAATTAGAATTCCCCTGAAAAAATGACGACATACATTGATCTCATGAAATTCAACCTTTAGGAAAACAATTTTTTTAAAGAAATAGTTATTTGTAATGATAGAATGCTTGATTCTTACTGCTGTTTATTAGTGTTCCGAGGACAGTCATTGGGGTCCTCCCCCGGAAAACTCTTGGGATGCGTCTGTATGCTATGCGGATAAAAGATCTGCATGACCCGGCAAAAATCCACGCTCTGGATGAGGTAGTTAATGTCGGGATGCCAAACATCGTGACTGAATACCAAGAGCGCTTGTTCAATGCCCCGGGCTTGAGCTAATGATACAATGAGGTGTCTCAGGTACGTCAATCGCGAGTGAACCTGGATGACAATCACCGGTGCATCGGGCGCCAGTGGACCAAATGCATCGTCGTTATAAATTTTTTGCTCCGCATTTACCCTCTCGATGCTACGTTGAATCTCGATAATGTCTAGGTCAGCGAGACTACCGAGGGTTCCATTAGGGCCCTGATGGAGCGAACTATTACGTCTGTCTTTTAAGAATCTGGACATTTCAAGTAAATTGAGTTGAATTGATGCGATTATCGAAGCAGGAATTGAGGATTAGTTTTCAAGAGAGTGAGAGGTAAAACAATCGATTGAAGTATCTCGAAAACTGTTGAGGGGGCATCAGGATTTTCTGCATAACAAATGTAGGGAACTTCATAAAGAGTAAAATGAATTTTGACTCGCATCTCTACGATTCTTAGTTCTCGAGATATTAACGTTTGAATAAACATTCAAAGTAAGAAACGGTTTTATGCGTTATAAAATTCCCTGCATTTTCTCAATAGTTTCCGAGATGTGTTAACGAGATATCGGGATAACAAATGTAGGGAACTTCAGAACGAATAAAATTCATTTTGACTCGTATCTCTACGATTCTTAATTCTCGAGATATTAACGTTTGAATAAACATTCAAAGTAAGAAACAGTTTTATGCGTTATAAAATTCCCTGTATTTTCTCAATAGTTTCCCAGATGTGTTAACGAGACATCGGGATAACAAATGTAGGGAACTTCATAAAGAATAAAATGAATTTAGACTCGTGTCTACACGATTTTTAGTTCTCCAGATATCAACATTTGAATGAACATTCAAGGTGAAAAACAATTTTATTCGTTATAAAATTCTCTGCATTTTGCCAATAGTTTCCGGAATATTTGCCAGACAGAAACAATGTATTGATTCGAATATTGAACTCTACCTGTGTAATTCTTGAGGCACAAGGGAAAACAATGTTTCATTAGCCGATGACTGAGTTGGCAAATCCCTACCGGTGAGACTGATAACATGAAGCTGCAGCCACAGGAACGTCGCGAGGAAGACAAATGCCAGTGTCCTGATAATAGTACTCCGCCCCGATCTCGCACCTCCGACCGCCGAGGCACCTGATTTAAATTCCAATACTTTGAGACACTTCGTATACGAGTTTAATCACAGACTAGTGCCTATTCTACCCTACGAAGCAATTTCCAGGCTATTTTCTCGGGTACTGAGAACTAATCTAAAGCAATCGCGCATAATTATGGCTCACGCGAAGAGAAATTTATATTAAATATTACCCCCGAATTCTGAAATGATATGTTTTAAATTTCACTGGAATTTAGGGATACAATTTTCACGGAAATTTCTCTCCGAGAACAGAGGCCACTTGTTATCAGCATTTTTGGTGATTATTACCTCGCGTATATCCGGCTTTTTTTCTCGTGTACACGGAGGAGACTGAGTATGGCTTTACGAGTCCACGTTCGACATCGGACGCGCTCGTTTTTCCTAAAAAACCCAACGAATAAAAAAATAGAAACAAGTGGGAAATTGCTTTTGTATTGAATACAGTATAATTATTTTTGCTAATAAATTAGCAATATACTTCCTAATGATTATTTTGCACATAATTCCCTTCTATCGTGTATAATTCATTGGTCATTTCATTTTATTAAATTGAATAAGATTTCCTTTTACATAATGTTGTCAGATTTCCAACTTAGTTCAATGCTATCAGCATCATTATTCTCATTATCCCTTTTCGTCTGTACAACCGATTGTCTTTTTTACAGTTCTATCTCTCCCCTCAGCCCTCCGATAAAATGTTAATAGAATAATTTCAGTGGTGAAGTCGTAAAACGGTTTAAGTCGATTTTGACTATTGCCCGGTTTTTAGTGAATATCTCGGAATCTAAGGGAGACAGCTGAATTTTTATTACGACCTTTTTTGTAGCACTCAATTTGCTCTAGAAAAAACGTCATTACGAAAATTTCATTATCTGCTTTAGATTCGGAGATATTTTTCAAAAACTCAACTAAGAAATAAGTCGACTTAAGGTGAAACGGAACCCCTGTGTCTATATGAATTTTTAGAATTGTGTTTTCTCCTGCAGTTATTATTTTATATTTATGAAACTACTTCATTGGCTCAACAATGCAATGATCGAGTCGAGAAAGTAGTTTCATAGATAAAAATTAATAATTGAAGGAGAAAACACAATTCTAAAAGGTCATACAGACAAAGGGGTTCCGTTTCCCCTTAAACTGTTTTACCACTTCGCTACTGACTTCATTTACACATACTTGAATGAATTTGAAATATCACATTTGAAGAGATCATCAGAAACTTCACTTTCAGGGAAATTCATGAAAAATTCAAAATTCTCGACAATCATCATAAAAATCAAATGAATCAATATAGCTACCATAATCATCTTTTAACTCCGATTTAATGGAATTAAAACAAACATTTTAAGCTATGATTGAATCCATTTGAAGCATGATATTCAAAGACATCCCCGGAATTCTGATTTTCAAAAAATACAAAATTGTTGAAAATTTTCGAATAAATTAAAACAACGATTATTTCTATCGCCTTCATCTTCGAACTCAGTCAAAGGGACATTCAAATAAATTTTTTAAGCCATCATTCGATCAATTCAGAACATTTTTTTTAGTTATTGTGGGACAACCGATTTTCGAAAAAATTCAAAAATTAAAAAACTAATCAATGAATTAAATTTTAACTAACGGCGATCGATAGGGCTCAACAATACCTATATTTGAAAAAAAAGATTCAATTCCTTCCATTCATTAGCGAACATTCGTGCGAGCACGGTCTAAAAATTGCATTTTCGAACTTTTTGGATCATAAATAATATGTCGATATAACACAAAAAATCAAAACCTTAAATTTGGACGATTACAATGCTCCCATTCGGCGGCAAAAATAAATTTTTCGCTTGAGACCTCGATAACAAAACGTCCGGCGAATAATTGAAGGAAAAAAATGTGGAGTGGCCTAAAAATACTTGAGAAATATGATACAATAATAGAACTTGCCTCTCATACTGACATCCCTGGTCGGTGATTCTGAAACAAACAAGAATAAAAGAAATTATAGCATAAAAAATCATAAATAAATCAAGTGAATGCGTTCGAGGGTTCGAGGCCACGAATGAAATGTCTGACGAGCGAAACACGTCTCAGTATTCACCCAAAGGAAAACCTGACATTCGAGAAGTTGATCGAATGCCAGAGGAATTGATCCACATTGAGGGTAGAGTAATAAAGTATTCCCGGAATTTAGCGGCGAGGCGGTAAATAAAAAAGTCGAGTGAATTCGCGCTCAAGTGTGAAGGCGTTACTGCCACTGGGGTTTTAACTTTATTCTTTTCTCAGTGGTATTTGCCCACCACAACTCCACAAACTCCAGTTTATATTGTCATCTGCGATAAATATATACCCCTGAGTTAGACGGAAATTATCCTCATTTTTCTCGCGGCATGCAAGGATATTTTTCCATGTCATGTTCATTTGCACTTTGTGCACTGTTTTTATTTAAAGTTATTTGTCAAATTTCGATGATAATTTTTTTTCGCTCGAGTTGTAACTGCACTCGCTACCTTTCATATTGTGATTCATCTAATGAATTGTGTTATTGATGAGAGAATTATTGGATTTTTATTTTCAATTTTCGAACTTCGTGAGGAAAGCTGAATTTTAGGGGAATCGTATTGTATTTTAAGAGGAAGGGAACGATAGAAACGTTTGAATGTGATAAAATCAGTATTTTTTGTAAACTAATCCCAATTTATCATGACTAAGACACAACAATAAAAAAAATACCATTTAAAGAGACAAAAATGTGAAATGCTCAGTAAGAAAATGTCTCGAATAATTATTTACTGCAGCAATCAACTCCACTCTCCTAAGCACCACAAAACAACAAAAAATAAATTGTTTCATTCAACTAGACCAACTTGAGCAATTAAAAAAAATTAGCCAGTGAATTGTGTCATATTCCAAGAAGAAATGAACGATAAGAACATTTCAATGTTATGGAATTAATATTTTTTGTAAATTAATATCAACAATCCTGGTTTTATTCAGGAACATGCGGTCCGTATTCTTTAATAAATTGTTTCATTCAACTAGACCAACTTCAGCAATTGAAAAAATTAGCAAGTGAATTGTGTCATATTCCAAGAAGAAATGAAACGTTATAAAATCCGTAAACTAATATCAAAAGTCCTGGTTTTATTCAGGAATAGGCAGTCCCTATTCTTCATTTCATCATAAATAAGACAATAATAAAAAAAATTACCATTTTAATGGACAAAAATGCGAAATGCTCCATAAGAAAACAGTTTACTCTACTCTCGTGAACGCCGGAAAACAAAAAAATTATTGTTTCATTCGACTACACCAACCTGCGCAACTCAAAAAAATTCACAAACAAATTGTGTTATATTCTAAGAGGAAATGAGCGATAAGACAATTTCAATATCATAAAATCTGTATTTTTTATTATATAAACCAATATCAAGAATTCCGGTTCTATCCAAGAAAGTGCAATCGCTATGCGTCATTTGATCATGAATAAGACAACAATAAAAAAATACCGTTTAAATAGGGAAAAATGTGAAATGCTCGGTAACAAAAAGCCTCGAATAATTACCCTCTCGACCAATTAACTACACTGTCCTGAACACCACAAAACAAGAAAGATAAATTGTTTCATTCAACCAGACCACTTGTGCAACTAAAAAAAATTCACAACTAAATTGTGTTATATTCCGAGAGGAAGTGAACGATAAGAAAATTTTAACGCAGCCGGCATTCATCACCAGTATTTATTCAATCCATTCTGTATTTCTTCCTTGTTTGCCCCACGAACTCGTTTATCTCTCATTGTCATTATACAGCTGCATTTATCGAGTCAACAGGGACATTATTGTTCGGTGCATTGGGTGAGGCTAGCGATATATCAAGTATAGACAGAATCACTCACGATGTTTGTATTTTTTTTCGATGAAATACGTGACATTTACCGCAGTCGTGGTCAATCATTCGATAAATTTTTTTCATCAAAGTTGATTAAAATTTATCCTCATTGAAAAAAAATAAACGTACAGTGTTTTATGTTTCACTTGCCATTTATTACGATCCACGTGGCGTCTTGCCATCTCAAGGACTCACAATCAGTCCGATTGTATTCAGCTGAAGGTATTTCTGACGTACATTAAAAAATAATAGTATTACAGTAACGGCTGTTACTATTTCTATTGCTATTATTTATTATTACTTTGATTTGATAAATGATAAAATGAAATTACGCCGATGGAATTGATGTGAAAGATTAAAATTTCTCATTAAAATGAGCGGATGTAATGAAATTCGAATTTTACATCTTGAAATTTTTATCCGCTCCATCATTGCGATATTTTCTTTGCAATTCATCAGATTATGTTGAAGGTAAGACACATGAAGATGATTTGTATGAAAGCTAAACTCACTTTCCAATAAATATTGAATCTTGTCTCACGTACAGAACATTTTTTACGTCCCCGCGTGTTGATTGTATTCTTCCAAAACGACTCACTAAGAACTTGACCGTAATTTGCATTTGATTGTATTCCGTTGTATTTCGTACGTACATAGTCATTTCTATCGTTGTCATTAATTATCGCTATGATTAGATGAATGATAAATGATGTTGTAATGATGGAATTCATTTGAGAGATTAGAATTTCCCATTAATTTACCGGATAATTTGATAACTTGAAAGAAGGCCATTTGACTTCTATATTGAAATTGTTATCCTCATCACAACGAGGATCTCTCTCCTTGAAATTCATCATGTGGTGTTGAACGTAAGACACATGAAGATGATTTCAGTGATCGGCATCAATCATTACTTCAGTAATCTGAGAATACTTTCCTTAAAATAACTGCATTGATTAATCTAAATTTTCAAATAACTATCAAGTGAATAATGTAAAATTTCCTAAAAGTATTGGAAATTTTTCAAATAATCGTCAATCTTACGATTCGATTTTTCCGGGAAAATATCGATATTTTTTCAAACATTTTCCTCTTATAAATAAATAATAAAACTTGTTTGCAAAACGGTGGATTATTTTTTATGAGGTGTCAAAAAAATTCTTGATTTTTTCGCAACTAATGAAAAAAAATTCAGCTGTTAATCTTTGATTACAATGGAAATGTTGATTTTCACATAAGACACTGGGTTAAATCCTCATTTTTAAACATTTCTTCTTCGAAAAACCAAAACGATAATTAAGTTGAAAAAAAAATTAGAATTGCGAATCTAATCGAGTTTTCTGCAATTTTTTTGCAGTTTTCAATAATCTTTGAATTTACCGTAAGGGCAGAGCTACTTTAAGAGGGCTTGCTACAGCCCGGCCTGATATAGAAGAATAATCTTCGGATCGAAATACCCATCCCCCAAATGAGTATAAAATACACTTGAATCAACTATATTTTATACATAATTCAAGTATATTTTTTTTCAGTTATCTTATCTCACGTACAGAACATTTTTCATGTCCCCAGGAATCAATGATATCCTTCCAAACCAATGCACTAAAAAAGTTGACGATTATATTCAGTTGAATTCATTTCTTACGTTCACAAAATAATAATAGTAAGAATAATAATGATAATAATAAGAATAATGGCAATTATTATCATTCCTATTGTTATCATTGATTATTGCCATCAGATTTAACGACAGAATTCATTCGAAAGATTAAAATATCCCATTAAAATGAACTGATCTAATGAAATTTGAACTTAACATTATGAAATTGTTGTCCTCACCACAATAACGATCTCTTCCCGTGCAATTCATCACGTAATGTTGAAGGTAAGACACATGAAGATGATTTGTATGAAAGCTCAACTCATCCACTAAATATTCAGTCTTATTTCATGTGCAGAACATTATTTACGTCCCCACGAGGCAATTGTATTCGTGCACAACCGCTAAACATAAAATTTTGCGATAATTTTATTTACACAAGTGACAAAAGTTTCTCGCATGATTGGTCTGGTATTTGTGGTGGGAGTGACACTCCCGAAAATTCGGTGATGTCGTCATTCTCAGGTGGGGATTTTGTGATTGGGAAAACCTTGAGGTTTTCAGAGTGAAAGTGAGTGCGTTTGGTCACGAGAAAAAATAAATAAACTTGGAAATGATGATTTCGTACTGGGAGACACGTAACATTGGGTTGAGAGACCGCGACCGACTGACTGAACGGCGTATCTCATCCTCAGAGAGGTTTGTGCTCGGTGAGTAACGAGAGGGAGATCCGGGGGCATTCAAAGGAGAGAGAGAGATGCGTGCGAGTGAGGGGGGAGGACATGTGCACTTGTTTGGGTATGTGTGGCCTGGGGGAGGGGCTGTCACGTGGCGGGGACCACGTGGATGATGATTGAGATAAGAATTCTGAGATTGAGTTTCTGAGTTTTTTGAAAATTACTCTCGACATTCTTGACAACTACTTATTTACATAAAATTACACTTTATTTATATTATTTATTTGTTATTTATTTACTAGGGGCCACCGCCCCCTGCTCGCTCCGCTCGGCAATCCTCTATGACCCAGATATAACCCGCACTTGACCTTCATGATCCTTGTGACCCTTCTTTAGATCCTTATTACCCATAACCCTTACTTGGACCCTCACTCTGACCCTTGTGAGCCTTAATCTGAACCGTGTGACCATCAATCTAACCCTTGTGACCCTTGTTACTCTTATTCTGACCCTCGTGAGCCTTATTCTGACCCTCACGATCCCTATTGTCACCCTTGTGACCCTCAATTTTGGAGTCTTAATTTTGAGTACCGAATTTTCATCACCAGAAATCGATTTGTTAGTTTCTGACCTTGGTTTTAACCCCCACGATCCTTATTTGCCCCTTACTCTGACCCTTTAACCCTTAATGTGACCCATATAACCCTTAATCAGACTCTCAGAACCCTCCATTCGACCCTCACGACCCTTTTTTGACCCTTGTGACCCTAATATGAACCCTCATGATCCTATTTTTGACCCTTGCGACATTTAATTTTGGAGTCTTAATTTTGAGTACCAAATTTTCATCACCAGAAGTTGATTTAAATTTGGTGGCTAATATTCATTCATTGTTCACATTGTTTTTTAGAATGATTATCTTGTGGGAATATTCCGTCTATCGTTTAAAAATGAAGTCACTATAATTTCCCTGATATTTCCGGGAATGTCGTCACAAAAAATCAAAACTTTAAGGAAAATTCAGTGGAAATGAATCAAAGTTGAAAATACAATTCACTTTTACTTTTACGACCTGCATTTTCTATCCAAGAAAACTTCACAATTCATTAGATCCCCTGATAAAGCTGTCACTCAAGAACGCTCATTACCGCTTATCATTTACCACATCCAATCTCAAAAAAATGACCACCCCACAATGACCTATGCGTCGCATAATTCCAGTGCGTTTATTCACAGCAGCGATACATAATAAACAAGTCTAGTTCCCCAGGAAATGGGTCATTTTATTATTCTTCTCTAGACGAGAATGCACTCTCCATCAAAAGTGTAGCAAAGATGCCCGAGTGGATGAAGCTGAACATTTAATCTACATTAGCGATAATGAAACCATAAAGCCTTGAAAAAATCACCAAGACGTCTTTCTTCGGCGAGGAGCTGATGCTCAGCTGATCCCTTTAATCTTCGGAGTGCCCCACCGAGAGCCCCGAAAAAAAACAATTACAATGGATCCGATGATACCTCAGGCCACGCAATATCTAGGTCAGCTGAGTTGGCTCGATGCAAGGAAACAATGCGGATATCTGACGTATTCTCTCGCCGGGAGTGATTTCAACCCCCGTGAAGATATACCCAGTGCCTTCGGGTGGTTGAGACAAGTGGGAGAGTGTGCGAAACGCTCGCGGGGGCCAACTCGACGCCTCTGATACTACAGATAAGCCTGCACTTTGGCCTTTTGTCAGGCTATTCGATCGGCACCTGCGGCTTCACCCTGCGGCCAAATATATATCAATGACAGATCGTCGATAATAGGCACAAGGCTGATTCGAGGTAATTGTTGGGGAGCAACTTGAGTTGGTGTTCGATGCGTGCACATCAATCAGAAGAGAATAATTTGTTGTCAAGAATTACGAATTTTCAGGGAAATAGGAAATTTAACTGAATTTAAGGATATTTATCCAAAATATCAAGTACTTAACAAAATTATTTTTTTTAACAGAGATGAAGATATTCCCTTCACTTTGATATAAATTTCAATCCATCAACTTATGTTCATTATTTAGAAATGAAACAGACAAAATGCTCCAAATCCATGCGCTAACATGCGCTTATAAGGGATAGAATCATTCAAATATTTCCTCATTTTGTCCGGGTAGCTTACGGTCTCTGCCGCAAAAATTAATGAATAAATTAATAGAACGTCATGTTTGAAGAGAGATGAAGATATTTCCTTCACTTTGATACAAATTTCAATCCATTAACTTATGTTCATTATTTAGAAATGAAATAGGCAAAATGCTCCAAATGCATGCGCTAACATGCGCTTATAAGGGATAGAATCATTCAAATATTTCCTCATTTTGTCCGGGTAGCTTCAAGTCTCTGCCGCAAAAATTAATGAATAAATCAATAGAACGTCACGTTTTGGATAAGTGAATGGCGTTCCTAAATAATACATTGGACTCGAGGAGTCGTTTTGCTGTCGCAGTGGCGCAAGCAATGTGCATTAAAATTCAGTCGACGGGTATGAGATTACGTTTGGAGATGATCCAAAATGTTGGAGAACGACCCATAAACCGTAAGCGAGGAGATACACGACACGTTTGCTACGGATGCTGCTGCACTACATGTCGAAGTTGTGCATGTAGGGAAATAACAGTAACGTGTGCGGGGGGAGAGGCAAACTGTGCATGCGGAGAACAACTTAATTGGAACAGCAGTACCTCCGATTCAATTATTCTAAAATACAGAATAACAAGTGGAAAATTGCTCTCGTATTGGATATAGTATAGTTATTTTTGATAATAAATTAGCAATGTACTTCCGAATGGTTGTCTTGCATATAATTTCCTTCTATCGTGGATAATTCAAGAGCGAAGTGGTAAAACGGTTTAAGTCGACTTATCTCCCAGTTGAGTTTTTGAGGGATACTTCCGAATCTAAGGGGGATGGCGAAATTTTTGTAATTACATTTGTTGTAGCTCTCAATCGGCTCTACAAAAAAGGTCATTACGAAAATTTGGCTATCGCCCTTAGATTCCGAGATATTCATTGAAAACTGGTCAATAGTCAAAATTGACTTATACCGTTTTACCACTTCGCTACTGAATTCATTGTTTATTGTATTTTATTGAATTTAATAAGATTTACTTTTACCTAATTTTGTCAGATTTTCAACACTTAGTTGAGTTTTATCAGCATCATTATTCTTATTATCCCTTTTTTTCTACACAACCGATTGTCTTTTTTACAGTTCTCTCTCCCCTCAGTCCTTTGATAAAATGTTAATAGAAGAATTTTCTTGACACATACTTGAATGAATTTGAATTTTTTCATCTTCGAACTCGGTCAAAGGGACATCCAAACAATTTTTTTAAGCCATCATTCAATCTATTCGGAACATTTTTTTCAGCTATTGTGAGACAACCGATTTTCGAAAAAATTAAAAAATTAAAAAAATCAATCGGTAAATTAAATTTTAATTAAGGGCGATCGATTGGGCTCAGCAATACCTGTATTGGAAAGAAAAATATTTAATTTCATCCATTCATTAGCGAATAATTCAACAAAAACTTTACCACGCATATACGTGCGGACACGGACTTTTTGCGTCATAATGGGTCAATATAACACAAAAAATAAGTGACTTCAATTTGAGCGATTACAATACTTCGGTTCAGTAGCAATAGGGAAAACGTTAATAATTATGATTAATGTTATAAACAATAGTTCAATCATAATAAATATTTTTGATCATCCTGACTGGATGCCATTTCTTGATATTTCGTTAAAAATTGTTATTAATTTTTTATTGTCATTGAATTATTGAATGACGGAAAAAATAAAAATGAAGAAGAAACCACGAAACATCAGTCTGCGGTTTCTTACACTCACCGATAATTTATTTTAACGACAAAAAAACTCGTCGAATGGAGTTGCATGCAGATAACATGATTTTATGGTGAACAAACAGGATAACACCCTGGGAAAAATGTGCATGAATCTTACATGCGAGCCAAGTATCCTCGCATCGAGTGAGGTAAAAACGAGTGTGCACGCCTGTTATTTTTCGTTTTTCCCAAACGTTAGGCATCAGATAATTCTCACCGCGGATGAAGCGGTCACATATAACGGATCATTCGTTTCTCCCGGCATCGGGTAACAGTGAGAGAAAAAAAGTATCTATTTGGCCAAGGTTGAAACCGGTTTTGCACATGTACTCATCCTGAGGATGAATAATAATGGCAAATAATTATGGTTGTACGATTATGCATATCCTGTGGAGGTATGACTCGAGGGCTCTGCGGGAGATATACAAAGAAAGGAAGAAAAACATCAATTCTATTCCATTCATTAAAATGAAAAAAAATGTAGAGCAGAAAATGATCTTAAATTGCAAACTAAGAATATTTCAAGAGGATTTCATCATTTTTACTTGAAGTAGTTTAAAAAAAATTAAAATCGTCAATTGATCATTTTTGAATGACGAATATTCATGAATATCTCAGGCTTATTCCATCCATTATGATGAGAAAAAAATTGTGGAGCAGAAAATGGTGGTAAATGACAAAATAAGAATATTTTAAGAGATTTTCATCATTTTTTATTTGAAGTAGTATTTTTCAAAATGAAAATCATCAATTAATATTTTTTGAATGACGAATACTCATGAATATTCTGGTTATCAACGCAAATAACTTGACTATTTTCGTTCTCAATTCATTCGAAACTTATCTCTGCACTTAATAAAATCAATGAATGCAATTTCAATTTAAATCCCTTCGACAAATAATTACGGTTGTACCATTACGCATATCCTGTGGAGGTATGACTCGAGGGCTCCCCGGGAGATATCCACAGACAGGAAGAAAAGCATCAATTCTATTCCATTCATTAAAATTAAAAATCCTTTGCGAAATGGAAAATTATGTGAAATGGCAAAATAAAAATACTTCAAGAAAATTTCATCAATTTTTACTT